CACAGTGATTTCATTTAAGTACAGTACATACAAGCTGAGTCATTCATTCTTAAACTCTTTTGTGTTTTCTTTCTTCCATCTCAGTGGACTGCTGGGATGGGCCAGATGGAGAGCCCATTATTCATCACGGTTACACCCTCACATCAAAAATCCTCTTCAAAGACGTCATTGAAACAATTAACAAATATGCCTTCACAAAATCACAGTACGTGCTTCTGGGTCCTTCTGTGTTCTGTGCTTCTGTGTTATTGATTTAGTTTGTTACTGATGTCTGTATGATATACTGCCTTACATTAATAGCTTAGGTATTGGCACGTCACTCCTCAGGTACCCAGTGATCTTGTCCATAGAAAACCACTGCACTGTGCCTCAGCAGAAAAAGATAGCTGAGTATCTGAGAGAGGTGTTACAGGACAAACTGGACCTGTCCAGTGTCAACGTGCATGAATGTAAGAAGCTGCCCTCTCCTGAGATCCTGAAAGGGAAAATCTTAGTCAAGGTAAAGTTGTTCTTTTAGCAATATGCACTGACATATGCTGGAATGTTGAGTTAAATGGATCCTCGAAGAAGTACTAATAATATACGATACACATGAGCATCACATGGACTTACAGTAAAATGCTTGATCATTCATTCTTGTTTTTCAGGGCAAAAAACTGCCAGCAAACCTTGATCCTGATGCAGAGGAGGGTGATGTGTCTGATGAGGACACTGGAGATGAGGACGAGAATGAAAACGAGGATGAGAACGCACAGGCAAATGAAACATAGATAGACAGACAGAGAGATAGATAGATACTCATAATTCTGAATTATATTTGACTGTTTTAGGATGGGAGTAGTGTTACTTCTACAAATCAGCCCAAAAAGAAGAGGCGATTTAGCAGATCAGTCATAAGGAGCTTCAAACAAAAGGTCAGACATCAAGCTATTTAAACATATTCCCTCCACTTTATTTTTCACTTCACTGCCTATGATAAATGTGAAAATACTACATTCACCAGCTTATTGTTTAGTTTAGTTTTAAATGTTAAAGTGTGTTTGGTTTTTCCAGAGGAAAAAGCGAATCAGAGTAAATAATAAGGTGATGTCTGATGGAGAATCAGACTACAGCAACTGCAGGGAGAGGACACAAATTGTTTACCATCCCAAGTAAGGCTAGTAATCACAGAATAAATAAGTTACTGAATGAATGAAGTTACTTTCTGATATTCTTAGTATTATCAGTTACACTTTTATGTTTATAATTCTGCTTTCAGGAAGAGGAAGACAATGAGGCTGTCGCGAGCTCTATCTGACCTGGTCAAATACACAAAATCTGTCCGTGTGCATGACATAGAAACACAAGGTAAATACAAGAGACATAAAAGTAAACATCTAATTTTCACTGTTTATATGTCTTCACAACAAATATATCTTACAGTGCATTGTAAGTTCTGAGATACTCAATGCCTTTCTGTTTTCTGTCTGGCAGGACTTACGAACAGTTGGCAGGTATCGTCCCTCAACGAGACTGTTATGAACCAGATCTTACAGCTGAAGCCACGAGAGCTGGTGTGTTTAAACCAGCGCCAACTTCTCAGAGTCTACCCGTCCAACTACAGAGTGGACTCAAGTAACTTCAACCCACAACCGTACTGGAATGCAGGATGCCATATGGGTAAGACTCTCACAGGAACAACAATACTGCCTGATTTGAAAAGTAACAATAAAACATTGGTTTGTTTCATTTTAGTTGCCATGAATTATCAGACAGAGGGACGCATGCTTGAACTGAACAGAGCCAAGTTCTCAAGTAATGGAAGTTGTGGATATATTCTGAAGCCTAAGTGCATGTGTAAAGGTGTGTGTACTGTATATGAAGTTTGTGCAGATGAATGACAACTATCACTTAGTAGTCAGATTTCTTGTTTGTTTGTTTTTCCAGCTGCCTTTAACCCCATGTTGGAGGATCCTCTACCAGGACATAGAAAGACTCAGTTAGTGCTGAAAATTATCAGTGGACAGCAGCTTCCCAAGCCTAGAGACTCTGTGTTTGGGCACAGGGGAGAGGTGAGGCCTAAACATATCACATATAAAACCATGATTGCATTATTAACATACCTTCTATCACTAAAACATCTGTATTACTTCACCTGTTTACTTTCAGATTATTGATCCCTATGTTGAGGTTGAGATTACTGGTCTACCTGTTGACTGTTCAAAGCAGCAGACTAGGGTGGTGAATGACAATGGTATCTGGGCAAATTCCCTCACTGCAAATTATGTATATCACGTTGAATTTTGTGTTTTTCAGTTTGTTTAGCTTTCCTTTCACTGACATTCAGGTTTCAACCCAATGTGGGAGGAGACCCTCGTCTTCAATATCCAAATGCCGCAGATTGCCCTGGTGCGTTTCCATGTGTGGGATCATGATCCCATTGGGCGAGAATTCATTGGACAGAGGACTGTAGCTTTCACCAGCATAATGCCAGGTAGATAACATAATCAAATATACAGTATGTAATGCTCACTCCAAAGCTCACGTAGAGTAAACTTCCCCTAAATGTATTAAGTTATATTTAAACTTTACACAGGATGAGCCAGCCAAAATATCATAAAAAAAGATGCTATCTATTGTATTAGCTTAGCGTAAAACTGGCTGGCTCTTTCTTTTGAAAGGAGCTAGTGGATAACCACCTACCAGCACCTCTAAGATTCACTAACACACTTCATAGTGGTTTGCTAATGGCAAGACTCCAGGATGTTGCTGCACCCAGTCAAGAAATAATCTTACACATAATATTTATGTAAAATTTGTAGGTTATCGGCATGTGTACCTGGAGGGGATGGAAGAATCCTCAATTTTTGTTCATGTTGCAATCAATCATATAACAGCAAAGGTAAGCTATTTAAAATAAACTTACTCATCTAATTTCAGCTTCAGCTGAAAACATGATCTTAGAACCTTTGGTATAATTTGCTTTGTAAAACAGATTAAACCTTCAAATGCAGTGCAAATGGCTCGAAAACATATACAAAAAGCTGCTCAGAAGCATATGAAGGGTCCTCAAAGGCAGCCTTCTCTAGACTTCTCTGCCCATTCCTCAGAAGACGGGCGTGCTCTGTACTTCTGCAGTACAAGGGCTGGCAGCCAAGGCTGTCATCCACAAAGGGGCCATGAGTGAGCCAGTGAAGCGAGCTAACAGAGTTCAAATTCATGAATCACCAAAGACAAGGAAAGGGATCTTCAGCCAGATGTCCTCCATTGATTCACACCACATGGGGGCTGCTGCCTATGCAATAGCAGAGAACTTTGACCTTGAGATGTCTTCCAAGGCTTCTTGTCCTGATGGTCCCCCTGCTGAGGACCAAAATACAGTTCACGAAGAATTGGATAATGAACTTAAAGACCCACCAGAGTCAAAATGTGCTGATCAGCAGACAGTTCAGTCATCAGTACCAGATCAGCCCAAACCATCTGAGGGATTACCAGATAAAGAAACTGCCACTGAACCTAAACATCCAGCAGAAACTCAGAGTCAGATTGATTCACTTCCTCAGACTGTGCCACAGCCTAACACCAGATCTCTTCCACTTATCCCTCCATCATCCCCAGCTAGGGTGAGACGGACCTTAAAGGCTCCATCCATCCCAGTACGAACAAAGGCCCTCTCACACAGTTGCTCTAGAAAACAGACCACCTGTCCTCAAACACCACTGATGAACCACAAACCTTCTTTTCACTGGCAAATGCAGCAAGCACAAAACTATGGCATGCTCAGTGGTCTCTGCCTGTCAGACAGCACATCCAGCAGCACCGACAGCCTGGAGTTTGTGCCCTCCTGTGTACCAGCTGGCACAGAGCAACACGAGGGCACCCTACAGAGGGAGATGAAGGCCCTTTTTGACCAGAAGATGAGAGAGATCCGCTGTAAATCGCCACTTTTTTTAGATGGTAAGTCACGGATGATTAGCGATTCATAATTACACAGTAATATAAAGATAAATATAAAGGTAAAGCAACTGTATTAGCTTTTGTTTTTACTTTGGGGATTTCTTAAATAGACCACAGTAAAAATTTGTGACTCTAAGCACAGCACAGAACGTAGTTCTGATTTCCTTTCTTGATACACAGGAGGAGACCAAGCAGTATTACACAACTAGAGTTTTTATTATTTTAGGTGAGGTTTACAGTTCACACCGTTGTATTCATGCTGATGGGATGTTTACAATATAGTTGTTGAAACCATGTGATAATCACTGTGAACTGCACAAACAGCATGATGTAGAATCAGTCATATCAAGTAACAGTAAACTTAGAAAGTATATGATTCCTATGAGTTAGTAAAATTTTCAGTTCTCAAGTGTAAACACGGATCAATTCGATGCTATTTTTAAAATATTTGAAATATGTTTACTTTTTTATTAAAACTAGCGTTTTTATTTGAAAATCAATAAACACTATTGTAATAAAATGTGAGGTTTTTCCAATGGTAATATTTTTTCTTTTTTACAAGAAAAAGATGAAAACCTACAACTAAGTTAATATTTCTGTCAAATATTAGAACAAATCTGAAGAGGCTGCAAAAAAACTATATAAAGAACCACAGTTTTCAGAGCTGTTACAATCACATGTTTCTAGGACATTTCTATGCTTTGTCTACATTTTCCTGGGGTCTGTTTGCATTGTTGGTCCTCAAGCGCAGACTCAGTTCTTCAGCGAGCACAGTACAGCAGGATTTCTGAGGAAAGGGTGAAACATCATTTTCTTTATTGTGTTGATGAATTTGATGTGAACATCTTTGTGTGGGTGAGTGAGCTTGACTGAGTCTGGATGTGTCTTCTGCATTTTGGTGCTCTACATCTGGTGTGAAAACCAGCTGGTAGATGAAAGAGATCCTTTTAACTATTTTAAATTGCATGGTATTTAAATGGCTGAGCAAATGCTGCAACTTTCAGGCTTATGAAATTGTTCAAAAACTAATGAATATGCACAAATACATATTGTCAAGCTAAAAACAGGAGTGATGTGAGTTGTGAAAGCACTTCTGCATACCCTCTGCTCCGCTGCACTTCTGCGACTCTTGAAAGTAAGCTCCAGGAGAGCCAGCAATGTTCCCATTCCTAAACCCAGAGAAAGAACCAGAAACATCCCCTTGGGACTGTGTGTCTGCATGGCTGAAGACTTGGCCTTGTTGGCTATACAGCTGCTGGCCCACCACTTGCTTTGCAGGTAGGCCAGCTCTCCAGCCTCGCTAAGTTGTAAGACTGCCACACTGAGGTTCTTTATTATCGGTGAGCCTTGAGGAGATTGACAGTTTTCACATGGTGTTATTTATACCATTTCTATATTTTACCCATTCCATTACTGATCTCATCAATTCAAGTTTTGAAATGAGTAGCCTCACCGAGGGCTGCAGCGATGCTGTATCCCCTCATGCCAATGACTTCATGAGTTCTGACCAGTTCACAGTGATGAGCTACAGCCAAGTCCAGAGAAACAGACTCTCCAATAAAGGCGAAGTTGCTTTCTCTTGCACGTCGGACCCCTTCATCCATGGATGACACAAAACTCTTTGTTCTCTCCATGTGTTCATAGATTCTCCGATAAACAGGGTTGTTTGAGTTCTGGACAAGGAAAAAATAATTAGAAGGGACTGAATCTACTGCCAGTTGGGTGATACAATGCACAAACTGTCCTTTTAGTCTTAAAAACTGAGATCAAAATCTTCTTACTCACCTTGAAAAATGCTAGAGTTGAAGAGCCAGCCAGGCAGCCGTACTCGATCACATCCTGACTGGCCAAGTCCTCAAACCCTTTCACCATTACCTGAGTGGACTCAGAGCTCTTGGAGGAGCTAAGGTTGGAGAAATAACAAGCCAAGAGGACGACTGTAAATAACCACCAGCTGCAGCAGATAACACGTACTGAAAGAGCCCTGGGGTGAGGACCAGCACCTGACAATGAATAAAGAAAGACATTTTCAAAGGCTATATCAGGAAGTTGAATTTGCAGGAATAAAAAGAACCAAATGAGTAAATATGTTAGGTACATCTTTCTCTGTATTTGTTTCTCTTTGCTTACAAAACTTGATTGAGGTGTCTGGTTTAGCTGTTTACCTTGAAGCGTAAGAGCTCCAGCTGTGTACCACAAGCTGTGGAGCAAGTTGAATCTGTTATGTTCACTCTGAGGCTGACTCCATTCACATGGACTGAGTCTGCATTAGTGTAAAAATATTACTAATTGATGATTGATTGACAGCACTTCACTGCTGGCAAAAATGTGGAAATATTCACAAAAAGTAGGTCTAAATTCACATTTACAACCACACAACCAAATCCATAAACATCAAAAAATACATTTTAAAAACTCAAACTACTTGCATCACCAACCTTGCAGCAATAAAAATGCAAGCAGTCGTCCCCAGGTAGGCAATGAGTATGCCGACCCACGTCACGACTGTAAAGGGGGTCAGGAAATCAAAGAAGCCTGTTTCCTCTGAGATGTCCTTCCTCAACAGGATGCTGATACCAGTCTGCATGAATGGTTTGGTCATCGCTACCACTTTCTCCCGAGCTGCAGTGAGAGTCAGTGGTGCAATTGCAAGGTCTGCCTCCTGCAGGTAGTGCATAAATACAATTTCTATATTAGAGATTTATTATTATATTAGAGATTTATTATAAACTGCATATTTATAGAAATCTCTTAAAGGGTTTAGGTTTAACATTGTGGTGAGTTTCCTATCATTAACAGTATTTTTCTTCTGCAGTGTGGTTTGCTGCCCACTGACCCTTCCAAAAGTAAGTTTTCATGTACTCACCCCTCTTATCACCTCTCCTATCATCCCATTCCAGTTCCCATTCTCCTCCTGCCTACCATATGAACCATCCTTCACCAGCTGCACTTTGTACTTGAAGCCCAGTTTCTTGGCTACTTCAGATAATAGGTCCATGCAAAAGCCATCCAGCTGTGTGCCCTTGGACACTGTGTATGGCTCTTGCTAAAAGAAAATATGTAAAACATAATCAGTGAAATATGTTTAATCTTTGATGTGGCTTCTATAGTTACAGTAGGTTAGAAAGAAAGAAATCATTTAATTACCTTTATTGTTGTGATTCTCAGTTCTGGTTGCACTGATGATGGGGGTGGGGGTGAGGAGTTGGATAAGAAACATGTTAGGATTAAGACTTTTACTGTAGATGCCACAGCCCCAAACATGTACTTATGAAGGCAGTGGTACTCATTGGTTCATTTAGAGAGGTCACACACCAGACAGATTGGGCACCACTGGAATTACAGAGATACATTTAAGTAACAAAGTCACTGGTGGCCAGTTTAAAGCCATGCTAGAAGTATGACTCTAGGGTGGAAATGTTGGTCATTTGGTCAGGTCACCACTTCAGTCCAGACTGAAATATCTGAGCTACTAGATGGCTCGCCATTACATTTTTTTTTTTATTTTTACAAATATCCACGACCCCCCGACGATAAAGTCTACCAAATCTGGTGATCCTTAAACTTTTCTAACATTACCAATTAGCGCACAGCATCACTATGCCTAAATTCAATCTCACAAAGTTTATAACACAGCTGTAGACTTATTCTTGTTATTATGATTTCTTTATTGATTTATTATTTTTGCTTAGTTCTGTTTTTATGATTAAAACTGTAATATAAATTGTATATAGTTTAAATGTTTCTGCATTAGTTTTAATTTGGTGATCTGTTTTGAAGAATATGCAATAACAACAACAACAACAAAACACAAATCTTACAGCACCCTAGGCCCATCTTGTCCATGAAAACTAAACACATAGGAAGGTATGAGGAAGCAACAAACATTAGAATAAGAGAACTCCAGGATTATTTCTGCTCACAGCTGATGTCCACCCTAAATTTAGCAGAATAACTTCTTTGTGCACTGTTCACCATCAGGCTTTATTATAACATAAATGTCTAAGGTGAATTTTGGGATGCATGTGTTGATCTTCTTGTCACAACTGGTTTCTGGTATCCTAGAGATCAGACCACCCTCCTCTCCCACTTGAAAACAGTTTGCACGCATCAGTTTATTTAGAGCAGTGTATTAATTCAAAGAGTCTCAGTGCCATGGTACTGTGACATGGGAGGGCAGAGAAAGAGTATCAAAAGCCTCAATTCAAGCCAAGGCCTCAGGGATCCATCACCACAGGATGAGCCTGACAACCATCTGATCCTCATTTTCAAAAGATGACACATATACAAGCTCAAGCCCCTGTCTCTTTTTGGGCACTCTCAAACAGAGGGTCTTTGTTTGTGCCATGGAGTTTATTTATGTATTACCATTTTTTTTTTATGAAAGCATCAGCTGGCTTGCTTCCTTTTCTGTTTTTCTTCTAGAGCTGGACAGGATGTGGTGCTACTCTTCATATTCATCCGACCTGACAGTTTATGTATTTAAGGCTGAGAGACTTCTATCAAATCCAGCAGTGAAAACATAAAAAAAAAGCAAGCTGCCACTACTGGGTCAAACTTTAAGAAATCTGTACCTAGAAACAAAACCTCTTTAAAATCTCTAATGTTGTCCTTCAGATTAACAGCTACATCAGTGCACACTCAGGCAACATAGTTTGAGGTTAAGTGTTATCTAACCCACCTAGTTAAATGTACTGACCTTGTGTATTAGTATTAACCTGAGATAAATTAAAGCCACTTACCTACTGTACACATTCTCATGTCCATGAAACACCCAAAAGACAATACAAAGAAGGCAAGCAGCATTCTTTTTCTCTTAATTTGCATCCTAAGTGGTAAAAAGAGAAAATAAGTAACCGATGGTGCATCAAATGGATCTCATAGATAAACTAAGAAATGTATATTAGGATCATTCCCGATAGAAAACGTGAATTAATTCATTACATTAAATAGTTTAAAAACTGACAAGGGGTGAGGAGATGAAAGTCATTACTACCTGACAAGAATCCAAGATACAACTGCTAGAATGGCACGTCAGACTTCAGACAGACCCAAGAGCGCATGAGTGTAATGTAGTGTGATCTGAGTTTTTCAGATTCAAATGTGTTAAGACAGCTAATAAAATTGTTGTGGGTGGAGAAAGTCGAAAAGGTTTGAAGGGGAGGGGATAAGCAGAACAACATGCAAACACATTTAAAGTTTCCACTGTGAATTAAAATTAGGTCAGTAATATTAAAAAGAATCAGCATTCTTAAACTGCATATTAGCCTACACTTATAGAAACCTATACATAATGTTGATTTTAGTTCTGCAAAGTCAGTGGACTATAATTTAAACAACTTGTCAATGTATTGGTTTTTGACTGTTCGAGACATACAAGAAACAATTTGAATGCAATACCTTTGGCTCTAGGATGTTAAATTGGGCAACCAAACATCAGTCAATTAATAAAGAAAATAATTAACACACCAGTCAGTGATGTAAATAATCATCAGTACCAGTCCTAAAGTGGACATGAGCTTGGGTTGTTTCATCAAACTACCATTTCCTACTTACTGTATTTACTTATTATTTCATGCCTGAATTGAAATGCTTTACATCTTGGTGTTGGGAAATAAAATGTGCATATGTTATAACTGAACAGTTAACAGAATAAATAAGAAACAATTTCTCAGTATTTCTAAGACTATTGCCTTCTCTTTGGCAAACCCAGAATGTACCTTAAAAAGGTAAAACTATGTGCTTACTAGTATTTGATTTTTCTTTTCTTGTAGTTATTACACTTGGACAGTGGATTGTTTAAATTAGCTGCAGGTACTGTTTTCCTAGACATAGCAGGTGTGTAACAGGTAGGCTACAAAATGGTAACTGGGGGTATGAGGACATAAGGCGCGCAATATATGTCTTGTTGTTTTTCTCAACGCTTCTCTCTGGAATGAGCTGCAGATGGGCTACGATGAATGCGGTTTATGACGTTGCCCAATCAGAAGTCGGTGCGCGTTACGTGCGAGGTGAAGCGGCGACATACCATTGGCTGAGATGGTTTTTTTTCCAAAGGGGCGTATTTTTCAAGCCATCTTGACTGAATATTTAGCCCCATCCAAGGTACATTAATTTGATATCTTCGGTATTTTTCTGTCCCCAAGTTAACAGCTATCACCGTTTAAAAGGTTTAAATCACAGCTATGAGACCGGTTCGACTTTGTATGTCTGACCGAAGTCACGGCGGAGAAGTGAAATGCTGAAGATGACGCTGTCGCTCCTGAATCACCGGCTAGCTAAGCTAACGGCTAGCATGTCCGCCTGACCGAAGGCAGGGCGGAGAAGTGAAGGGCTGAAAATGAGGCTGTCGGTCCTGATTCACCGGCTAGCTAAGCTAACGGCTAGCATGTCCGCCTCGGTTGTAGTCTGTCACTAGCTGACATTTAGCTAGGGGCAGTTACTCTTGTTTGACACTCGCACTGCAGAGGACGATTTGACAAGGTAAACGACATTGATAATTTCAGCGTTGCTTGGAAAATATTTGGCTTTGTGACAGGACTTCTGCGTGTCCTGCCCGACCGAGTAATGTTATCGCATCAGCAAGATGTGAATCTTTTTGCAGGGGTTTGGAGCACAGAGCGACCCCTGTAAACGCTGCACATTTGCGGTGTCGTGATGTAATGTATACATGCAATAAACTTGTGCATTTAGGCATGGTGCATACAGTGCATCTGCTTTCTTGTTGCTTTTGGCATGTGTAATTGGGCTGCTAATCAACTTGCAATACAAACGCTGTCTCCTCTGTCGTGCGCTTAAAATGGCCGACAGATGTGAGATTACTCGGGTTGGTATTTAGCACTCTTCAACCTAACTACGCACAGCAACAAGGGGGCAAAAAACAGAGGATGCTGGGATTTGATTGGGCTAAAAGAAACGTAGCAGTGTTACAGACTCCGGGTTGGACCAATAGAGACACAGAAATGATGCATCCATGCAAGCATTCAACCTACTGTACTGGTGTTTGTGCAGCTAGAGTGTTTGAGGAAACATGCTGTTTTTTTATTACAGGAGCACCAGACTTGACCCTTTTGTTACATGTTTACTAATTATTAATGGATAAAGTCAATATTTTAGAATTACTTCTTAGTGAGATTTTAACCACTGGTTTTTGTCTTATCTCAATAGCATTTTTTTAAATCAAGAAAATATACTTTGAACAGCAGGGAGGTAATAATAATAGTGGGATCTGAGGCAGGGCTGGCTGAGTTAATGTACACAAACACATGAGGAGTCACAGTCGTGTAGTGGTGTACTGAGACAGATGGATATCAGCATACAGAACAAATTATACTTATTTGTACCCTTATTATTTTCATAGCATTGCAATTAGTACAATAATACTACCAAAACTCAAGATTAGTGTTAATTTAAAAATCTGATTTACTGTGAGTGGCACCAGTGGAGTAATAATAAACAGATATTAAAATTAGCTTTCTTCCAATAAGATCAGATTCAGATCTCATATTTTATTGAATCAAGACTGTGATTACATGTAATAGAGTACAAATGACATTCAATAAAGTGCTGACTAAACAATTGCAACCAACAGCACTAAAGTGCAAAATAGGTTTATTTAGCAAAAGTAAAATGATCTTTAAAAATGCACATATTTTACCTATAATGCAATGAATACAGACCCTCTGGTTTATATCCAAGCTTTTCCACTTACTTTCTACTGTTAATGTAATTTTAATTTGATAATGGCACAAAGCAGACTCAGTTTTGACTCAGTAATTTGACTCAGTTCTTCTTTCCTCTCATCTTTTAGGGAGTTGGTGTAAACTCCTATGCGGAAGGTGGGGAGGTGGGAATGTGAGACAGTTGTTAGCAGACTCAAAATGGGCAGGGGTCGAGGCAGAGGGAGAGGAAGGGGCAGGGGCTCATCAGGCCAGTTACGCCCCCCCTCACCCTATAGACTGCAGCTCTCTCCATCCAGGGAGACTTTAACATACGCTCAGGCACAGAAAATAGTGGAGGTGGACCTAGATGGACGGCTCCATCGGATTAACATCACAGATCCTCTGCCAGTTATAACTGAGGATGAAATGATGGCTCAGGACATTGCTGAGTGCAACAGCAACAAGGAAAACAGTGAGCAAACGCAAAGTAAAACCCGATCGTGGAGGAAAGCCTCAAGCAGTAAAAGCAGGAGATGTGGTAAAAATATGTCTCAACCAAACCAACGGTCTGGCTCCCAGCAGCACACAGGACCTACTATTTCCTTCCAGCACCCGTGCCCGGAAGATTCTCTGCCTAAGCCCACCTTTCGTGTGTTGAGTTCAGTTTGCCCTTCAAAGGCACCTCCTCTCCCAACAGCCTACTACCGTTACATAGAAAAATCAGGGGAGGATCAGGACACTGTGGCTGAGTACGACATGGATGAGGAAGACCTGGCCTGGCTGGAGATGGTGAATCAAAAGAGAGTGTCTGATGGCCATGCCTCTGTATCTCCAGACACGTTTGAGCTGCTGATTGACCGCCTGGAGAGAGAGTCTATCCTGGAGTCCCGTAGCCAGGCTCTGTCCCAGAGTACCGTCGATGAGGATGCCTTCTGCTGCGTTTGTTTGGATGACGAATGTCTAAACAGTAATGTCATCCTGTTTTGTGACATCTGCAACCTGGCTGTCCACCAGGAGTGCTACGGTGTTCCCTATGTACCTGAGGGCCAGTGGCTGTGTCGCTGCTGCTTGCAGTCCCCCTCCCGTCCTGTAGACTGTGTGCTCTGTCCCAACCGAGGAGGTGCCTTCAAACAGACTAGTGATGGTCGTTGGGCCCATGTTGTTTGTGCCATATGGATCCCAGAGGTGTGCTTTGCCAACACGGTGTTTTTGGAGCCTGTTGAGGGTGTCAAGAACATCCCTCCTGCTCGATGGAAGCTCACCTGCTACCTGTGTAAGCAGAAAGGCAGGGGAGCATCCATTCAGTGCCACAAAGCTAACTGTTACAGGGCCTTTCACGTTACCTGTGCCCAGAAGGCTGGCCTCTTTATGAAGATAGACCCAGTACGGGAGACGGGCATCAACGGTACCACATTCTCTGTGAAGAAGACTGCTTTCTGTGAGCATCACTCTCCTGTTGGGTCTCGGCGGGATGGGTCAGGAGACGAGTCGGTTGAAGGAAGAATGGTGGGTGGCAGAGGAAACCGGGGTCAAAGGTCGTATACTCAAAGTCCTCCCTCCCCACAGAACAAGAAGGCCCCCAAGGGCCAAAAAAAGAAGAATACGAAAGGGTCTGGTGGGTCGATGCGTCGCTCGAATGTGCCTGTGCTGCTTGTACCTCAGATCCCCTCTCACAGGTGTGACATTTGCATACTGTCAAAATTTACATAGCCAGCACACCCTGTTCTTGTATGGATAATTTGGAAACACTTTTGTCATCTTTAATCAAATTTGATTTTGCTCCAGTGCCCTGAGACTATTGTTTTAGGCATTTGTGGATATTTTAAATGACTTTGTCACAAGTTAATGTTATTATGACCACAGGTTTTGCCACACAGGCTTTAACATTACAATTGATACATCTCCACAGGCTGAACAAAATCTGCACAGGGGTTGAAGTCCAGAGGAAGAATCAGTTCATGCAGAGGCTTCATAACTACTGGTTACTGAAACGACAGTCGCGAAATGGGATGCCTTTAATCCGTCGACTTCATTCCCATCTACAGGCCCACAGGACTGCAGAGCAGGTGAGGAGAGAGATGATGGGTAGTGTGTATCTAAAAATAAAAACTAAATAATAAAATAAATCTTTTGCATAAAAACAAGTTTTGCAATTGCAGCACAGTAGTGAGTATATTGTTATATAGTACATTTGCTTTATTGTGTGTGATAGTTCACTGTTGAAATGGTTTTAAATGACTGAAAATGGAGTCCATCAGCACTTTGTCTTAGTTGCATTTTCACTCGACTGCTAGCTAAGCATGTGGTTTTGGTGTACTTGACATGCGTCCAAGTATCTTGGACTTATTTTAAACTGGTATCCACATTGATTTTGAATTACTTTACATATCTAGTTGTGTGGTAGAGTATTGGGAAATATTAATACCAGCACATTTACATTAACAGTCATTACAGTATCAGGTCTTCGGGGAGCCAGTAAAGTCAGTCATGGCACTCACACAATGTTTGTATTCTCACTCAATGAAATGAAACATAAGCCCAGACATCACACTTTGCAGTGGCTGATTCAGATAGATGGAGAGCTTCCACACAACCCTTCACAGTTCTGCCATCTTTGCTGTAGGTCTCTCACTGCAACAAAGGGCAACAGCGTGTGAAAAGTTGTGAATATTAGTTTTATCTATTGCCCAGTCATTTATAATAGCAGAGGATAGCTCTTTTAATCAAAAGTGCATATGAAAAATACTGCAAAATACAGTTTGATGAACTAATTTTCAGAGAAATAATACATTTACAGCTTTGGCTTCATACCTGCAGATTTTGGACATTGGACTTGTCAGTTTTCTTTCTAAGAGCCTTAACCCAGGAACAAACTTCAGTCTCAGAGCCACAATCTCTCCCCTGGCCCTCCACCTAGGAAGTACTAATTGTAATGATTTTATTTCTTTATGTCTGTGCTCAGAGGGAGCCTGATGAGAAGCTCTGTGCTGCGAGAGAGGAACTTCGATACTGGCAAAAACTGAGGCAAGACCTGGAAAGAGCCAGACTTTTGGTAGAACTCATCCGCAAGAGAGAGAGGCTAAAGAGAGAACAGGTGCGTCACAGAGGAAAATGAGGCAAGCTACAATTATTTGGGTTTTCTTTTTTGTCAGTATTGTCATTCATAACCATCTATTAGATGGTCACTCAATCACTTGCTGAAAATTAATCAGGAACAATTCTGATAAGTAAGTAAAATTACCCAAAATCCAGATTTTGAATGTGAATATTTTATTTTAATTTCTTTCCTTTGTTTTTTTTTTATTAATTAATTTATTTTTTGGGAATGTCATCTATTATAATTATCTGACCATCACAGGAATTTGGACTGTTGACCTTATTTTGCTCTCTCTTGTGCTTTTACATTATCACTCTGCAGATGAAAATTCAGCAGGCTGCTCTTGAATTGAAGTTGACCCCTGCATTGGTGCTGTTGCGATCCACTTTGGACCAACTGCAAGAGAAGGACACGGCCAAAATCTTCACTCTGCCTGTCAATCTATCAGAGGTTAGTACAGTCTTCTTAAATAGACACTGTTCCTTTAGTAGCATTATTCCTTCAGTCATATTATGACTTGCCGAATATTCTGATTGTAATGATTCACTAAAGGTCCCAGATTACCTGGAGTTTATTTCCCAACCCATGGACCTCTCCACCATGCGGTCCAAACTGGAGGGACATGCCTACTGCTCAATTGCAGACCTAGAGAAGGACTTTGACCTCATGATCTCCAACTGCCTCAAGTACAACTCCAAGGACACCATGTTTCATAAGGCAGCCTTACAGCTGCAGGAGGTTGGTGGGGCCATTCTCCGTCACGCCCACAGGCAGTCTCAGAGCATTGGCCTGGACCCCAACACCGGCATGCATCTTCCAGAGATTCCAAACAAACATGGCTTCTACCACTGTACGTGGGAAGACGGTGAGTTGGGAACTAGCTGTTTCTTTGTGACCCTAACCCAGGTGCGATATTTGTTCTCATGACTTTTGTTCCCCCACAGTCGATTCTCTGCTGGATCCAGAGAACAGACTGCACTTATCCACAGAAGAGCAGCTGAAGGCTTTACTGGACAAACTGGACATGGTTACGTCCATGCGTACAAGTGGTGGTCGAACCAAACGCATTAGGCTGCTGCGCAGAGAAATCAACACACTGAGACAGAAGATGAACCAGCAGCAGCAAAACACTCAGTCTGTAAATGGTAATGACAAGGAGGACAAAGAAGAAGAAGAGGAGGAAGAAAAGAAAACTGAGAAGACAAATGCTGTGGACAATGGGCCTTTGACTACAGTGTCTAACTCTGGGACAGGTAATACTCTATCTTTTTTCTTTGTTAATGTAATTTCACTAGTAGTTCAGACATTAATTACAATTCTGACAAATTTCTCTTTGATTTAGATGATGCTCCACCTGTGCTAGAACTTACTTGTCCAGTATCATCACCACTGCCAGGAGATGCACCTCTCGAGCCCCCAGTCCTGGGCATCATAACTGGTGGGCGAAGGTCACCCGGGCGCTCCTACAAGCGTCAGAGGTCATCCCGCAGTGGGAGCAAAAGCCAAGGAGAAGAGGAGGCTGAAGTTGGTGAAACTCCATCTTCACAGCCTGAGGCTGTTCATGAGGTTACACCACTGGGTACACCCCCGACACTGCCATTGGCTGGAGTCGGTCGCCGTACGTCTGTTTTGTTCAAGAAAGCTAAAAATGGGGCACGGATGGTAAAAAACAAGTCCCCACCACAACAGAATGGGAAAACATCTGAGGAAAAAACCAACGGGATAGATAGCATCCCTGCTAGTCCAAATTCACCCAGTGTAACCAACATCACCTCGCCCCCTACCCCAAATGCCTCTCCTATACCTCCCTCTCTGTCCTCGCACCAACTGAGGTCCAGAGGCCTAAGCTCAGAAAGTGAAGCAGACAAACTCCCTCCACCACCCAGAGAAGCAGGTAATGGGGAAAAAATAGATTGCTTTAATCCTGAGAGATTCAAAATCTGTATTGGTCACTTTTTTTTTTTTTTTTGCTAGGACTGACAAATGGAAAGCATGTCTCTGCCAACCATGATGACGACGATGACCAGAAACTAAAGTGAGTACTGAGAAGTTCACTAGCCTTCTACATACAGTTAGTCACTAGCTGGTGACTAGTGGAACAGCCAAGGAGCCAGATAATTCTCTGGTCGGTGGACGCCAAAACTGAGCTGGGTGGACACAAACATGACTCCAAATCACTGCTAACTTTGCTGCGTGTCTGCTAGATGTGTTAATAACTGAGTGTTTCTAACAAGTCTGAATGTGTATGTTGTATTCACAGCTTGTCTCAGCTGCCCCCAAGTGGCCATAAAAATCAGTTACTACAGGTTAAAAATCACCCATCTCTCTTGCTTTTCTTTCCTCCTGTTTACAGCTGCAGTGTCTCCCCACCCAAGCGCAGTCGGGGTAAACCTGCGCTGGTGAAAGTCCCTAGCAGTGAGAATGGAGACGTCTCTGGGTCTGGTGTGTACACGAGAAGGCAAACAAAATACAATGAATTGCCTCTGTTTGTGTGTACTTATTGGATCCATAAACTAGCTTGTACACCAAACCTTTCATATTCAATTCAGTTCTAGGTTTGATCTTAGGAGCTGTCATGAATACAACTTAACTGGATGTGTTGGAATATCCTGTTCACAGGAAAGTCTGCACTTCTGTGTTTAGATAGTGAGACTGAGCTTGCACCACTGGACCTAGTTTGGGCAAAATGCAGAGGATATCCATCATATCCAGCAATGGTGAGAATGTGTTCTTTCTTTTTCTCTCTCTGTCTCAGAGAAGACAATAAATGTTCAATATACTGTAATCATCATAAGGTATTGTTACAGATTGTTGATCCAGACATGCCCCAGGAAGGGCTTCTTCATAACGGCATCCCCATTCCAGTGCCTCCCGTGGAGGTGCTCAAACTGGGCGAGTGGAGGCAAACAGATGAAGGCAAAAAGCTCTTCTTAGTGCTTTTCTTTGACACAAAAAGAACTTGGTAAGATCCAAACGGAGGGTTAAACGTCCTGTTGGTTTTGAAGAGGCTGGAGCAGTCCTGTTCATTAATTTTTGTCACCTAGAAAATTGTGTTTCTTGGTTTTCAGGCAGTGGCTCCCTCGTAACAAACTACTGCCACTGGGGATGGATGACACGGTTGACAAACTTCGCTTAATGGAAGGCAAGAAACCCAGCATTCGCAAGTCTGTGCACACTGCATATGATCGGGCCATGGCACATTTAAACCACGTGAGAGGAAATCTAAACTTCACTCCCTCCAATTTTATATAATTTTTTTTTGGTTTAAAAATGTTTTCATCTCAAACAAGCTGCCTGGTTGTATGTATAGAAGCAGAGGTAAAATAATGGCCAACAGTTAGTGGTAAGTGAAGGTTTTCTGCATAAAACTGTTGCTCGCCAATTTTTAAAATGGAGAGAAAAGGTGCTTGAAGACATTTTTGTAGATCAATGTGCTCATTTATTCATGTAAATTTTTTTTTTAAAGATTTTACACAACCGCTGTTGCTATGTATTCATATGAGGTTTTTATTTTAGGCCAAAGTGAGAAAAGTGTAAATATTTAATTGTCAAAGGGACTGTCTGCATTCACATCATATTTAGATTGTATTTGTCACTGTGTTTAATGAAGTGTGAAAGTCCCACTTAACATTCACGTCACATCCGGACTCAACTCAAGTTTGGCTTTGACGACTATGGGGGGAAAATTTTAAGTTTTTACCTGCAAACGTTCCTCGTAATAAGCTACATACTCTGCCGGCAATACTGGTACCGCCAAACTTAAATATGAGGACCCTTCCCTCATATTCTCCCTCTATTCAATCACATATATATTTTTTATATAATAAATCTATTTAAAATGAAATGAAAAGTTGAAGCTAACCCCCAAGTGAAGACAAACTGCTTATATGTTTGACTCCAAGAATTCTAAGAGTTGCTCAGTAAAATACAAGGCAGTGACGTTTTGAAGTGGAAAGCAATGCTGAAAAACTTTGGTCAAATGGCTGTCGGAGCAAATATTCGTGCACCTTTAGTCCAGCTATGACGTTGTAGATGGGACTTGAAGTTTTTACTTATTTTTCCATATTGTGAAACTGTAATATTTTGAAACTAGAATGTTGCAGCTACTTGGTTATTAAGATGTGAAGCCACTACAGAAGTTAATCTGATTATTTTGTGGTTATTACGACAATGTCTACTGCGAACACTCACTGAAGAACTTGCAATTGTTTGCAAATCTGGCTGACATGACTTGAAAAGCACAATCGGCCTGTTTAAAAAAAAAACAAAAACAAAAAAAAAAAACTTGTAGGATTGACTCCTGGAGCCATATGTGTGGCAAAAACTTTGTGTGTGTGTGTGTGTGTGTATGGGTGGGTGGGTGTGTACATTACATATGTATACAGCCTCAGTGTAGTAAAGGTGCATGTGTATAGTTTTGTAAATATGTAAATGTATGTTTATATTCGCTTACATGAGGTTATTTAAGGAATGCAAAAATCAAAATTTAGATTTTAATTTATAAATTGTGGCATTTGAGAGTGGTATTTAAAAAGTAAAATATTGAAAAGATTTATGTACGATGCTAAGTAGCTCTTTGTAATAGTGATGGTATTCACCGATATGTCAGAAGATATTCTCTATAAGTGAGGTGGCACAATACCTGAACTCTGTAGGTAGTAGTGCCAGCACTCACCTACATGAGGCTTTTCCTTTTCCTTGGGGGCACAGGAGATTTTTGATCTTGTTATTTGAATTATACTGCAAGATCTATAATCTGCCTGAGACGATATTTTCTCACACATGGAATAAATGCTGTTTGAAACAACTGCATATGGATGTCACTTCTTGACAGAAATGGTAATAAATCATAGTGTAGAACTTTTGCATAAGACTGTATGTATACAGCCTCAGTGTAGTAAAGGTGCATGTGTATAGTTTTGTAAATATGTAAATGTATGTTTATATTCGCTTACATGAGGTTATTTAAGGAATGCAAAAATCAAAATTTAGATTTTAATTTATAAATTGTGGCATTTGAGAGTGGTATTTAAAAAGTAAAATATTGAAAAGATTTATGTACGATGCTAAGTAGCTCTTTGTAATAGTGATGGTATTCACCGATATGTCAGAAGATATTCTCTATAAGTGAGGTGGCACAATACCTGAACTCTGTAGGTAGTAGTGCCAGCACTCACCTACATGAGGCTTTTCCTTTTCCTTGGGGGCACAGGAGATTTTTGATCTTGTTATTTGAATTATACTGCAAGATCTATAATCTGCCTGAGACGATATTTTCTCACACATGGAATAAATGCTGTTTGAAACAACTGCATATGGATGTCACTTCTTGACAGAAATGGTAATAAATCATAGTGTAGCATCTTAGTTTTCTTCAAGTCAAGGTATTGCCTGAATTTAAATGCAAGTATATGAAGATTACTTAGCATGAAGGTATTGTTTTGTGATTGCCTCTGTTTTTATAGCAAGTCTAACTTTTGCAGTTCCCCATATGATCCCATAATACCGAGTGGCAGTAAAGTGCCCAGCTGGTCATATTTAATTTGTCAGGAAGTATCAAATGACCATAATGTCAAGTGTTTGTGTTTAGGTCACCAGCAACTGCTAGCTTGTATTAGGTTGCATTAATTGTGCCAATGAGAAAAGCTGTTATATGCTGTAAATTACAGAAAGCCAGGCATAAACAAGATGGTTGGTTCCTGTTAACAGCCTGGGTTTGTTGTAAATCACACAGCAACACAAGAAGCACAAGTTCTACGGATGCGCAGTATTTACCATTGACCTGGTACAGTATTTGCAAGATGTTCATAAATGTCATAGCTTGAACTCTAAACATTTAGCTTGAAACTTGTCTCACTTTCTACTCATGTTTACACTCTGACTTTTTAAAGAAAGGCTTTTGGAGAGCTGGGGTTTAACTCAAGATGAAGGTTTAACTCAAGATGAAGGTTCAGACTGACGTCAGTATTTTTATAGGCAAGTTGATGTCCTGATAGTTTCCTGTGATATTTCCTGGAAAGAATTAAGCACTTCAGTACTAACTGTAGGGGAAATATCTGGCAAACTGAATGCTTGCCCATAGACGAATTTCCTGCAATTGCATGTTCAGCTTCCCTGCTATGCAATAGATTACACAAGTAGCCTAATCAACCGACACATCTCTATTTTTGATATACTGAGTACTGAATTACATAGTTCTTTCCATGATAATTATTTAATTTACAGACTCACAAAACCAAGCATTAATTTTCTGGTAGGTAATAAATGAAGCATTTGCACTATATGTAATTAGCACAAGTGAAGATTTAAGCAACCTGGGATTTATTACATAATATTATAGACATAGTCTTGAGACTTGAATTGACAAGAAATTTCCCAGAGGGGACAAGGAAGAGGCTACCGTTTATAGACCTTCACAAAATTATCCAAAAAGAAAAGTCACCTGATCTCACTACATTAGGTGTCAACTGAAAACTGTACAAGAAGTATCTCCAGAAAAACATTGAGCTCAGTGTGAATTCCAGACCAACAAGGTTTCACAATGAAAACACTAACAATGACCAGGTGAGTAACAGGCTGATTTCCTATTTGCTTTCTGCACAAAATATAACATCAATAAAACATGATTGTTTTATTGCCAACATTAGTGGGTTATAAAATAAACAATGTTTTCTAGATCTGTCATAGGCAACCAATTCATACAGGATGTCTTGTTTGTATGACGCATGATGGCCTATCCCTGTTCTGCCAATTCAGTTGTTACTATTATGGTCCAAAACTATTTTCTTTCTTGCATATCCCATTCTGTAACATGGGATATTTTGCATCAGGGAAAAGAAAAAAATCTATATGTAAGGGCGAGTCTGAAAAAGGTACTTTAAATTAATTTTTCCTGTCTCATCTTTACAAGGAAAGAGACAATGTCTTGTTGAATGAACTGTCATTTATGATACATTCACTGTTCGTGAGGAAAATTTCTCTCATCGTAGTAATAAAACAATATAAAAACATTTAAATATCATTGCAATTGTATTGAACCATAGTTCAATTTAAAATGCACTAATGCTGTTTTGCCCTGACTGTTTTTGATCTAAAGCAGTGATGCAATGACAATGAATTTTCTTTTTAAGGTAAACAAAAAAAAAAGAACTAATTCCTTCTTAAATAGTGTAAAATGTAGTGTTTGATTCCAGTGGTCAATGTCAGTCAACTTCAACAAGTGTCAAAAAAGGGTTCAAAAATATCTTGGTGTCAGTGTACAAACTATTGTTGAATGAGGCAGAGCCACTATTGTAGCACTAACAAAGTCCTATAGAAGGGATAAGAAGCCATTATCTGTGGAGTCTTGCTGGTCAGATTTACCGCCTCGAGAGCTCTTGCTGGGATTTGTGGTGGTTGAATACTTTGGGGGGTATCTGATAAAGAGACGATCCTCTTCCTTTTTAATCCACCTTAAAAGCTTTGTGATAGCAGTAATAGCACAGGCCTTCGTCACCAGAGGGCTGAAGCAGGTGTATAGCTCAAATTTACTTGTGACCTACAGTGGAGAGGAAAATTGACATTTTAGGTGAAGACATCACAGTTAGTCCTAAAAGAAACTAACAGCTGATCGTTCAGTGTGTTTATATGCACTAAAGCTGGCCAGCAAATTTACTTCTTAAACATCATGTAAATGAGAAACCCAGCTCCTCTAATGGACAAATTTCACCAGCAACTATTCTGATACCAAATAATCATTTTTAAGCAAAAATGCTAATAAGTTACTGTTTCTAGGTTGTCAAATGTAGGGACTTGATGTAACATACAATACCAAACATAGTATACTGAACAGCTTTGGGTTTTGGACTACTGGCCAGACATAACATAACATTTACAGATGAAAACCTAGGCTGCGGGAAATTATATAAATAGGGCATTTGATTCTTATCTGACATTTTACAGACAATACAATTAACCCATAATGACAACTAAGTTGTGTGTGAAACTGAGACCTCGTGCACAATTAGCCTTCTGAAACACACACAGGAAAAGAAAACTCGGGAAGTAACAAACTGTATCACTAATATGCAATGCTTCCGAAATAATGAGTCTAATCTTAGCTTTGCAGTCTTTTGTTTCTCTGTCACGAAGGATGAAGTACACACAAAGACAATGTTTAGAAGTAGATAATAGCAATAACTATGTATCCCTAAACACAGTTACATACCCAGGCTAGTAGAGTTTCCCTCTCAGCGACCTGGTAGATGAGTTTGAGGGGTCGGGAGGTGCTGTGGATGCGGCTGTGCATATAACGATAAAGGTCCAGCAGTCTCATTTTCTCCTCTTCACTGCTGTACGGTGCCTCCATCTCTGGGCTACATGGAGCAACAAATCATTACATAAAAGTTACAGACAGAAAACATACGCAAATTATGGTGACAGAGATGTGGACTGTGATGATGAATCTTTAAACTATTAAAACTATATTTATATGATATTGATGGGCCCTGGTACATATAATAGGACACCTCTAATTATTTCAGTTTAGCTCAGTGGAGATAAATAAAGGCTTGACATGATTAGTGAAAGACAATTTGAATTTGTTACAGTTTTTATTTCACTGTGCACTTGTAATGGCAGCCCTATTTCAGAAATCCTATTCTGAAGTGCTCAATATAACCACAATAGGCTGTATTTTCTTCTTGGAGTATATGGGCTTTTGTACTTTGTACATACTTACTACTATTATACAAGGAACTTAAACTGTGCACAAGTCATGGCCTTCGTGTATAATATCAGTTTTTTTCTTCAGACCAAAACAATGTCGTCATGAACATATTTTTAAAAACAAAGAGATATAACAAATCAAGGATCACTATCTAACCTGTCTGTATGATGTACAAATTTAAATATTCTATAAAAGCTCAAAACAAATCACTCATTTCACTTTCTTAACATAAAATGCTAATGAATGTTCTACTGTAGTTGCATGGTCAATAACAGATACACAAACACACACATACCTGGTGAACTGAGTGAGCTGGCGGTAGTTGTCTGGCACATCAAAGGGCTTGTACATGAAGTGTCTGAGGTCTGAGACGCCCACCTGGCTCACACTGTATGACTGAGCTTTGGCAATGAGGCTCAGAGAGTTCTGAGCCACCATGGCCTCCTCTATCTTCCTCTTGCACTCAGCTACGGCGTAGAAAGCCTCTTTGTCTGTCGAGAGCAGCAGCAAACAAACAGTGCATTCTGGAGGGTCCAGGTAAGAGATGTATGCATAAAAGTAACAGTCAGGATTAAAAAGAGGGAGACAGATGGGAGTCCAGATCTCCCCAGCCTGAAAGGCGGAGGAGGCTCCGATGAGGTTGAGCAGGAGGTGGATGTCAGTGGGCTCCAGCCTGGTGTCCTCAATGACAGTCTTTTCTTGAACAATAGTGAGTAGCTGGTTCTTGGCGATGAGGATGGAGAAAACCAGATTGGGTGTAATAGCTTTCTGCAAGATCTGGCTAATAGAGTCCCTGAGTGAGGATGCTAGTGGTAAGCAGTGCACTGCTGCGAGCAGGAAGCTGGGGTCAGAATCCACCAGGTTCAGAAGGCCGTCTAGGATCTTCTCTGAGCCTGCCAGGAGTCTCCTCAGGTCATAGTTTTTCTTGTGTTCAAAGATGCGGGATATGCTGGCCTGGGTGAGCATGCTGATGATCTGATAGTACACGTAGAGGAGCTCTTCACGTAGCTGCTGCTCAGATTGACGGCTGCTGGAGACGCACACCAGAACTAGGGGCCCTTTCTGTAAGAACACCACAGTGTGCCCCTCTGGTGGACGGAAGGAAAGACATGAGCAAGTGAATGTTTAAGAACAACGTGCCCAGTACTTGACACCTCTGCATACAGAAATAATGGACATCTTTCAGACTCTAAAATGAATGTAGATGCAACAGGCAATCCAAAAATTAAAGTTGTATGACAAATAAATACAAGGTGAATGTAAAGCAATAGTGTAAATGCATGATTTCTCCTTGTCTATATTTCAGACACTATTCTCTATGCTGCAGCACTTTATGTAAATAATTAACTTTCACTCTATAGCAAGCCACTGTGGTCACATTTAATCAACACTCCTTCCCACAACCCTCTGTAGCATTTCTACACTTGCCCTCCTATATGTGAAAAGAAAATGTCTGATCACCTGTGATGTTTCCTGTGGAAATTCACAATAATGTTACAAAGGCTATGTGGGGAACAAAAAATAAATAATAATCTCACAAATGCGCTCACCTGAATAGACTGAGCGGATGATGTTATCTCCACTTTGGACAAAGGACACCAGGGCCATCATGACTCCCATTGTGGATGAAAGAGCCTCTTCACTGCCATATCGGGAATAGATGGGTTTTCCTGCTTCACTTAGCACAAAAACATGCTTCCTGTGCTGCCGCCAGCTATCAGCTGTCACATCCTCATCACGATGAGACATAAACGCTGCAGGTTCCTGTGTGCCTGCTTCCAACAAGAGAGATGACCTTCCCTTCACACCTATACCTTGCTCCTCTAGCTTGGCTTTGGCCAGCATTGCAACGACAAACTCCCCAGATTCGCTCTGGTCATTGTCTGTACCAGCATCCTCTGCATCTCTGTCCACTGACTTTGTAGATTCATTGTTCTGATACTCAGAGTTTTCTGTCTCCTCTGCCTCTAGTTTGTTTACCTGGTTAGAATGGGATTCTGCATCCAGATGCTGCTCCTTCTGTGTAACTTTTGACTGGTGCAAAGTTGCATGCTCTTCTTTGTCAACACTGGTACTGTCATTTTTCTCCACCGGATCAGGAAACATGTGATTCCCCAAGAGGGAGAGAGAAGTTGCCAGGGTTTCAGCTAACATAAAAACAAAATTAAATTATTAAAATGAAAGCTAAACTCAAAATACACTGGCTGGCTACTGTAATAGGTAAAATTGTATGCACTTCAATGCAACACTTTCACCTTAACATGTGTGCTCTAAATGTTTCAGTTTTTGGTGAATTTGTCATAAATGTATACAATTATATGTTTATTACGGAGGTCAGCTAACGGTGGTGTTGTACCGGACAACCTTATATTCAGAGGTATTCCTAGTATTATGACCCTCTCATATATGTAGCTGGAAAAGACAAAACTATATAGACAGAGACACTGTACAGGTGTGCCTATTAAAGTGGCCTGTCAGCGAAGCTTTAATTATAGACGATATTGTTTGTTTACCAGTTGGAACGCAGTCTGAAGGTGGATCACAATTCTTCACCACCTGTGCCTCTCCTTCTTGATGACTGTCTCTCTCCATGTTACCATCCCAGTCACTGGAGATAAAAGAAAAAACGTATAATATAACCAAATAACTCAGAATATACTGTACACCTTTAACTAATGCATTTCAGTGGTTAATGCCTGACCTTGCTACTATTCACAAGTCTCTTATAGTCACACTGGTGACTCGTGTCACCTGATTACAGAGATACTAGAAAAGAAAATTCTACTGGACAGAGAGACGAAAGCGACTGAATTTGCCGCCAGAGCTAAGAGATCATGTTAACGTGTGTTTATTAATAGCTTAAGTTACTTATGAAGCTAATGTTAACCTGTCTGCTAACTTGCACAACGCCGAGACAGTTTAATTTCACATTATAATAAATGTGTGACTACAAATTCCGGTGCAACTCAGTAAACAGAGTGTAGTTAAATGGCTAACACTGCCTGCTAGCAAGCGACATACACTGATCAATTTCATGGCCTTGGCTTAACAGGGAACACGCAAGCAATCGTAGTCAACTAAAATTAGACAGATAAAGGCCATTAATAAAACTTACAGATGTTGTACCGTCGAAACGTTTGATTGAAATCTCAGTTTGCTACATTAACTTCATCAGCAGCCCAGTCGCAAACAAGCTGTCAAGAATGAGAAGCAGAAAACAAATTTTCCTCTTACCACAGCAGACATCCGGAATCTCTGACGACAAGTTTAACTGACCAATCAGGCTGCTCCATGGCTACGAGTAGCCCCGCCCCGCAGGGTATGTTCCATGCATTTGGTTTCAGAGAAAGCAATATCATACACTGCGTGAAACAGCAACTGAAATATTAGTTGGACATATTTAGTGTTTAGTTCGGTTTTATTAAAGGCCATCTCCAACTATTTAACCAACAAGCTATAAAATATGGAGGAGAATAGAACAGTGGGTCACGGTATGTGGAAATGCTGGATTTTAGGCGCTGACTTTACCCGGACAATACTTTTATCATTCCGGCCACACAGCAGATATGTGTGGTCCCAAAAAATATGAAACCCGTTGCTAGACCCCATGTAAAAAAAGAAGCGTTTGTTTTTTTCTCCTCGGTTTACGCTGGAATACTACTGAATAGCGTTACAAATAGTGGTATTTCGTTTCACTTGCAAAATGTAATAATAGGGTGTATTATAAATACTGACGTAGAAGAGCTCTCCGTCCGAACTAATGAAACAAACCGTTTAATTGAAAACGAGAGTTCTAACACTATTTTGAAGAATATTTACGTTGCGAGGTAGCTGGACTACGTAAGTTAACGTACGTACGTCATCTCCGATTCCTCATTCTTCTCCACTCAAATATCCTAAAGGTAGAGATAGCGACCAGGATATTTTATGCTAACGTTATATATTTAAGGCGATATACTTTCAAACTATAAAAACGGACATAAAGTTAGTTCCGCTGTCATATTAGCTGGTTAACCAGTCGCCATGGAAGAAATGTGGAATTTTGAATTTTTGTCCCGCATCGCTGACAGCTGCTGGTCGTTTCTCTCTCAATTCAGGGACGATTGGCATGCCAATGACATGAGAGTCTCCATATTCAAGATCCTTCTAAGCTGGTTAATTTTTAGTCTTATTGCAATTCACTTTGCGTGGAAAGTCTACGGGAATACAGTGAATGATATGTATTATCGACAAGGTGGGTTTTCTTCGTCTTTATCTGTAGCGCTGGCTATAGTAGCCACGTTAGCTTAGGCTAATCTCCGCCTGTTTGTGTTGATGTTTAGGGACTGGGCAGAACGGAGGCACACCGGATACAGCTTCGCACCTGAGTGGATGGTAAGTGTCCGAGCATCCATGTCACTTCAGGCAGGTAGCTTGCTATCCCCACGCTGTCTGGTGCTCAGATGTTCAGTTTAGTTGGATCACTGTTAGCGCAGGTAGCTACATTTGGGATCTTTCTCCTGTTTATCCCATTTCTTTAGAGCCGGTGATGTAACATAAGGGAGACACCGCCTCTAACTTAGTTGCGAATTTGTACGGATACAGTTATGTTTCTTCTACTAAAGCTTCAACATTTCCACTATAGGCTATCACTGATGATGGTGAGGTATTGATGTTGTAAATGTTTTTTCATATACTGTTACAGTTTTGTTTTATTAGTAACAACATTTTGTTATTATTGCAGGGAAAGCAGAGCAGGAGATACTCCAAAGACTCATCGAGATTAACAGGACAGTGGTCTTTGACTTTGGACTTTCCTCCAAATGAGAGCGGAATAGTTTTCATCTTCCAGAGACACTGAGTGCACTCAAGATTTCTGAAAACATCCCAAGTGTGTTAAAGATGGAAGCACCTTCTGATTGACAGTGTCATGCCGATATCCACTATATTGACACCATGCTACTGCAAGCTACTCATTTGTGCCTGTCAGCTTTGGTCATTGAACAGGACTTTATTCCACAAAAATATACCTAAATTGATAGGTTTGACTTCATGGTTGCCTGTTTTTGTTTCATTCAAGAGACATCAGAACAAATGTGAAATGTGTTTGTGTGTGAATTGTGGATGCTTTACAGTTTTGAGCCCACAATCAAAGAAACATATTTCAACTTGATTTGAATGGTTTGTTGAAGGGAAAGCATGACATTATGCATCAAGTCAGGACACGGGATTATTTGGACATTTTTCTGAACTGCATTAGCAGGAGTGAGATAATGGGGATGTGCCCAGTTATGATCTGAAAGATTCTCTGCAATGGGCAGGGTCATTTTTGTCACTGCTGTAATACGTTTATTGTCCATCAGAAAAGACATCCTTGAAAATCAGTACATGTCTTACATCTTCTGACATGTCTGAAAATTTAACCAGTTTCTCATGACATGTAAGGAGCATTGTGTGCACTCAATAGGAGACACAGGTTGCCCATGTTAAGGATTTACCATCTTTGACTTTTTCAAGTTTCATTCAGATTGATCAAACTTATGTCATATATAAAATACTACACAAGCACATGTACTCCATTTATCACACTGTCATGGGGATGTTTCTCTGCAGTGGACTTTGGTGGCTTGTGAAAGTAGAGTATAAATGAATGTAGAAAAATACTGAAAACTGGAGAAAATCTGCTGCAGTCTGCAAAAGAACTGTGAGATCTATTTTTCATTTATATGATGACCTAAAAACAAAGCCAAAACTACAAATATTTGGCTTAAACACAACCAAGTCAATGTCCACACTTCAGTTCAATCCAGGATTGGCAGCAAGATTTGAAAAGTGCTTTTCATTCAGGCAGCGTGTCACTCCAAAGTGCTTGAGCAGTTTTGCAAAGAGGAATTAAGGGTAGAAAGAGTCCAGATAGCTAAAGTCAATACACATCCACCCACAGTGGGAAGACTCAAAGCTATAACTGCTGTGAAAGGTGTCTACTTGAGGAGGGTGAACACACCCATCATTTTTTTTTGTACTCAGTATATATCAATGTGAAAAAGCTTTGTTACATTCACTGTGATTTCACATAAAACAAAAAAAAATGTGAAAAAGTGTGAGGCATTTAATTTTTATGTGCATTCTATGATCTATTATAGTCAGCTATCACAAGTTATATGGCCCAGGTTATATGTCAGTGAGACAAGACACATGGTACTATAGTGCCAAGTCAGATCTGCTGAAAAAACAAACAATTCCTAAACCTACATAATGTGCATTATTCTCAATTTTTACTGTTATGTGTTTTGCAAATAGTCTATTTTATATTGATGGAAGAAGTAGCACATGCACATCCATCACATTGGTGCAGGTTAGGCCAGGTACAACTAAATGTTGCCCAGCAGAAAGCTGTGAAAAAAAGGTGTAAGAATCATTGTTGATAAGGAAGTGGTCAACATCCAGCCCCTGCGCTTGTGCTTCCTCATACAGCCTAGCATCCGTAATGGCCCCTGCTGCTTCAGTGGGTCCATCCTGACCATCAGTTCCACCACTCAGGAATACAGGACCAATAGGTGGGGGTTCCAGGCCTCTCAGCTCCAGTCCCACTTGCAGAGCCAGCTCCTGGTTTCGACCACCTCGACCCTTTCCCGTCAACTTCACAGTGGGCTCTCCTCCAGCTAACAGACACGTAGCACCCCATCCTTCTGTACGGCCTTCACCCAAGACCTGCATGGTACGACACAGGTCCCATGTCTGCACACCCACCTCAGGTCCCAGCCTCAGCAGCTCAGCAGAAATATCAGGTGAAGGCTCCTCTCGTGAACAGGCAAAGCGGGCCAGGAGGCCATAAAGTCTGGAGACTAACCTTACATCACCACACACTCCTGGTGATAGAATAACAGGTCGGAAACCCAGCTCTCGGGCACAGAGACCTGCATGCTTGAGGGCAACACTGTTGGAGCCAATCACAACGTTGAGAACATGTTCTGCCTTATCTGTTTCATCTTCACTCACTTTACACCAGGTCCCTGGTCTCCCAAGGACATCTTTTACTGATGATGGTAGAGAGTTTAACAGCTTGTATTGTTCAAGGACTAACAAAACGTCCTCAGGCCCCACCTCATTCTGCACTGTGGGCCCACTGGCTATCAGGTCCAATGGATCCCCAATCACATCAGACAGTATCAGGGCAACCACCTGTGAAGACGCGATCAGATGAGTGATAATTAAAGAATATTGCTGGACTAACTTCTTCTCAAACAAAGCTGTTTAAAAAAAAAGCCCGCTACCTGTGCAGGGTGGGCATATTGTGCAAGTCCCCCACCCTTTAAGAGAGAAAGGGCAAGACGTACAGTGTTCAGCTGTTGAATAGTGGCACCAGCAGCTGCAAGTCTGCGGGTGACATCCAGTTTCTCTTGCAATGAGATTGGTGGGATAGGTGCAGGTAATAGCGCAGAGCCTCCACCTAGACAAAATTGAGCCACCTTGTTGGTGTTAGAATTACATTTTAAGGTATAATGTTGTAAAGAATAAACAAGAGAAGTAGTATGTTTACCTGAAATCAGCACAAGCAGCAAGTCTTTTTCTGTCAGTTCACTGGCTAAATGCTTGATCTTTTCAGCTGCCATCTGGGCATTAGCATCAGGCAAGTTGTGTTTGGCTCCTTCAATTACTTTGATGCAATTGTTGTCTTTTAACAACAGATGACTGTGGTGGAAGTGAGAATTTTTATTATGCTTAATCATGTTTTCTATG